TCCCCATATTGAATAATACACACACATACACACACACGCGCACGCACACACACACACACACACACACACACACACACACACACACACACACACACACACAAAACAGTGGCGTCTAAAAAGAAACTTCAAAATGTAATCACCAAATCATCGTATAAATTAAGCCTTGCGCTACCCACTCATGCAGCATACCAATTTAAAGCTAAATAAATTTTGCACAATCTTACACATTAATACATGTATTTCTTCTATGTTGAGATACGCCCAAGATAGTCACTCAAAATTGACCTTAAGTTTAAAAAATCAGGTTTGGCAATCTTGCGAAACCAAAGAAACGTTATAAATTGTCTTCGCTCGTGTATTGAGGAGTATCAATATATATAATATTGAAAGGATGGACATACAATGCATTACAATGAATGGGAAAGTTTTTCCCTACATAATAAACAATATTTTGTTTCGACATTTTGTCACAATAGTTTCAAACAAAACGGAAAACAGGGCAATCACAAATACATGTACCATGCAAAATGATGAGCTCACGTTACATGTATTAAGTCTAGGTTTTGCGTGGTATTTGTGACTGCTCTGTTTTCCAATCTGTTAGAACATATCTTCATAAAATGCTATTCATTGCAGAGGCAATACTTTTCTCTTTTCATTTGATATTCAATGCATGTCCATTACACCAATGTTAATGCACCTCAAATACGCACGGACACAGTTTTACGTTTCTTTGATTGCGCACAATTAATTTCGCCACACTGGCATTTTGGTGATTGTACTAGTTTCAAACACTTGTACATGTATATGTTGTCTCAGTCTTGTGTGTTGTGTCCTTAGTCGGAAGATAATCACTTGCTCTTGGCGGGACAGCTCATGGTAGCCATCTAGTTTCTGAGGTGCTTTAAATAGTGTATTTAATTTATTATAGTTTTTATTTCTGTGTAGTTAACTCTTGTTGTCTGGTTGCTCTTTCTGTGCTCCTAGTTTGGCCATCCTGTCTGCCTGCTCATTTCCCAAGACACCACAGTGTGATGGAATCCACTGCAGCATGATCCCCAGACATGGGATGTCCTCAATTACTTTTCGTAGCCTCGGTAGTTTGCCGGAAGTGATTGCCTGCAGTACTGACATGGCATCTGTTAGGAATACTACTTGGCTTTGGGGGTCTACCACATTCTTGATGATGTTTGCTGCATGTATTAGTAGAGCCTCTGTCTCTGCCCTGTAGTGTGTACAATGTCGCCCTGTTGGGACTGCCTCTGCTTGTCGTCGTCCATTTGGGAACTGTACGTACACTCCGGCTCCTCCTCTTTTCACAGCATCAGTGGCAGATCCGTCTGTATAGATCTTTATCCATGCTTCTCGTGGGTATCTTTCTTCAAGCATGGACAGGGTGAGGGACTTCTTGCTCAGGTCGCTGAGGTCATCTTTTGTGGTGAACATAGGAATGGACGTGTGTATAACATGTTTGTGTTTTTCTTTTCTCATAATGGTGCCTCTGGAGTATGGTTCAGCATGTTAACTGTGCCTGGTAGATGATCCTGTAGGGATTTTTGGATTTTTCTGCTTTCTTTGATGAAGTTGGATCTTTTGAGTCTTGTGGTGTTTGATCTGGCTGTTCTTGAGTGCAGTATATGATCCTCCATAGCTGTGGCCTTGGTGTACTGTATGAGGGCCTTGCATTCCCATCTCCTCTGCAGGGCCACTATAGATGTTGTTTGTTCCATCTTTTCTATAGAGGCGTTGACCTCATTGCTCCAGTGTACTTCCAAATGTTATTAACTTAAAAAAAATCAACAAATGAAGACGAAAGTGGTAAAAGGATTTAGTTTATTAATTGTCATGTATTTTTTTACTTAATTTTTTTGGGTAAGTGCTTTACGGCACTCGCCTGCATAAGGTCATATGAGCGCGCGGGATACATTAACATTTTTCAGTTGGTAGGAAATTTTGAATTTTGCCTGGGTGGCGGCCGAAGCCTACTCAATATATATATTTTAGAACACCGAGGGATCTTTAACGTGTGCAACACCTCCAAGATTTTTTGCCCTTGTCCGAGAAGGGTAAGTGTAGACCTTTCCTACCAAAAGATCAGGGGCATGGCTGAAAGACAGCACTAAGAAGGAGCCAAGGAGTAGCAGTAGAAAGGCTGCAGAAAGAGTCAGGAGCCCAGAGGAGGAGGAAAAGGAGGTGAGGGGGTGGGGGCAGAAAGAGGAGACGAAAGCAGACGATAAAACATTGCTAGAGAGCAGGAAAGGGGGTGAAAGGAAAATGTCATGTATACATTACAGTACTGATATAAAACAGAAACATATTCTTGATAAAAAAGATTAATTAAAACAATATAATGTGTATAATTTAAATCGAAACAGGCAAATGTTGCAAAGGAGAGGTTATAATAAAAAGCATGAACGACTGGTCTGCATAAAAAAACCTACAATTACTGAGAACCAGCCAAAGCTTGAAAGTGGAAGGAAATAAAGAGAAAGCTAATTATACTATAATGTAGTGACAGTGGAGCTCACTTAAACTGAACACAGTAAAATTAGAAAACGGTGGGTAGACCTAGACCATAAGAAAATAAAATCCGATTTTTTCCCATCTATTTGTTTTGAGCAAACTCTCTCAACTAAAAACCCGGCTAAATCAAAGAAAATTCGGAGGTCCTGCAGATTTCCGTTTAAGCGGACTCCAATGTATAGAGGACAAAAGTAATAAAACTAAATACTCTATACCACTCCAACTCTCCCAAGTTCTCTTTTGTTAACAAGAATGTTGTGAAAACATCAGATACCCCCGCTCAGAAGTGTTCAAATCAATTTCAAAAAATCAAAATAAAGTTGGACTAATCCTACAAGTAATACAATAACACTTCAGACCACTGGTCAACACTTTCTCCCTTCTAATGTTTGTTTAACTTCATGTAATAATAATCTCTGAACAGGTATGAAACTATGTGTAAAATCCAAAGTATGAGCAATGCCATCTGTGCAAATCGAGACAGGAATGTGTCTGCCATCACTGCTAATAGAAATCAATTATTAAATTGAAAATTACCTTTTTTCATTAAATGTAACTGCCACAATGATTTCAAGTAAGAAATTTTGAATTCCTTACTACATACTGCACATTACCACTTCAAAATATGAATTTTGCAAAAAGTTTAATTAATCATTGCTGGCATCTTTGGTGTCTGTGCCATGAAAGGTAAGCTCCCTGTGTTCTGATTTGGCTCGAGTTGTCCATGAGGCTGATTTTCACGGCCCATTCTAAAAAAGAATGTTCTTCAAAACAACTAAAGTAAGTATTTTTGATTTGATTGATCTGTAAGCTGTTTTTTAACTCACGTTTCACAAACATCTATTCCTGGCACCGTATGCAAGACAATTTTTACACGTATCATAATATAACATTATAGGAAAATTAGAAATTTGCCATTAAGACCAAGAACAACTGGAATTCTACGTTCAAAATCACTAAAAGTTGACAATGCTCCAAAATAATTAACACTGTGTCACAAAGTCATATTATTAGTTACACAAACAATGACAATAATAAAAAAAGAAGACAAAGGTATCATGTATAGGCTACTCCAAAAGTGTTGTAATAAGTCTTTAAAAAAAAAAATACTGAAATAAATGGTACTATACAGTAAATTGAGCATAAATCATCCTTTAAACTTAATACCTGATGTAAACGCAAATCCAGGGTAAAAGAAAGGGAAATTTTATGTAAAAGAGAAAGGTGCTAAAATTTACACAGTGTTGCAACACATGAGAAGAAGTTTTGAGTGAAGAGAAACACATCATCACAATGACTGTCATCTGGCGCTGGGAAAGAGAAAGACAGACTGATCGTGACAGAAATAAAAGAATGAAAGCAAAGAAAGGGAGACCTACCCAGTGGCGCCCTTCAACCACCAGCATACATAAGTAGGGGACACACAAATAAAAGAGCTGGGCACTAAAATATATAAAACAAAAGCCCACACTTTCAAGTTGACAAAGCAACAGCCTTGCACCTTTCTCCACTCACAAAAAGAGAACTTCTTCAAGTTTGTTGCTTTTCATGTGATAAAAAGACATTCCAGCCCACTTAGCTTTGAACCCTTACTTCTATGCACAACAACAGCTTGTAGGGAGGCATTCAAGGAATACAAATTTATACAATGAAGATTCATTTTTTCCACAAATATGTGTCTCGACACAGTGAAATCAGGCTTTCGTCAATGTTTGAGCATATTGAGTTCTTGGTATGATGTTGGAGCCTGTTCGTTTGCCTTGCTTTTGATGGAAAAAATTCCCATTTATCTGGAATAGATGTCAAGATATAAAAATTTGCAATTGAAGGAGATGGGGGGTCACCTCATGTCTGTAGTAAAATTACTGAGAAAATGGCGGCCAAAGTTTGGTGACTTCCAAAGCTTGAGAGTGTTTGGAAACTGCAAATATACATTATTTGTGCCTACTTTAATCCACATTTTTCAGTTAAGTTCATGCAAAAATGTATTTTTGAATAGACATAAAAGGTGTTGAACCAAAAAAGAGAATTTGAAAAATATTGCCCAATGGCCAGAAAAATGCCAGTTTCTTTGATTTCATCATTTTGGTGAGTGCCTGATTTCACCATGATGCCTCACATGTAGAGATATATAATATTATATGATGTATATACATATATAGACATATATATATATATATATATATATATATATATATATATATATATATATATATATATATATATATATATATATATATATATATATATATATATATATATATATATATATATATATATTAGATATCCAGGAGACATGCAGGTACCAAAAGAAAAAAAATCTTTAAAAAGAATTGAGATAAAAATGTCAAGCAATATCCTGCAGAGCTACTATAATGAGGGTCACAGGGGTGTGAACCTGAACAGAGCATGTTACCCTTTCATAAAGTAACTGGGAGCAGCCCAAAGAAATGGTGCCTGAATATAAATTTGTTAACTTTTTGTGGGTTTTTTTGGAATGAGCTGGATCAACTGGAAAATTGAGAACACAAAGTGCCAACCACAGGCTCACAAATTTCCCACATGTTTTGCTTGTTTTTCTTTGAATAACAAAAAGCATATCGGCACCATAACAGTCACTTGGTGCAGAGAAAGAGTAAGATGGACAGAAACAACAGAGGGAGGAGAGAAAAGAAGTAGGAACTACCACCAGTGGCACCCTCCAACCATCTGTTCACAAATTTCCAAGCAAGATGAACTTCCTGCAATTAAAAAAAAATATTTTCTCATGAGTACACAACCATTAAAAAAGTAATGAAAAGGATAACAAGCAATGCACCTGGTAATAATATCACAAATAATTAGTTTAACTTGGAATAAATGTACACTGAAAACATTCATAAAATTCTGCAAAAACAAAGGAACACAGCTTGTAACCATGAAGACACTTGATCAGATCTCTTAAAAATATGTTATATTCAACAAGAAAGGCTCATTCGCAAAAGATGCGTGTGACACTTCATCAGGAGAAAGCTATGACAAAAAACAAGAAAACTTTGTGTCTAAAATGAAAAATTCAAATAGTGGTGACCTGAAAATAAGGAGTAAATTTTGTACCCTTTAATGACTTTAATGACAGTTTCAAACTGAAATTACTTTCTTTAAATTCGAATTAATATTTCACATACAGTCAAACCCTGATATACCACCTACCTATGGATGAGTATGAAGTTGGCAGACCAGCCGGGCTGGCGGTATAATGGGATGGCATCGATTGCCATCTCGACTCATGGTAGACTGGAAGAGACTAGAGACAAACTGTGGTCAGTCTTGTCTCATATTTGCTAGCGCGATTGCAATGCACATGGGAACAAAACAAGTAGCAATCAATACCTTTGCAGCTCCAACAGAACTTTACATAAATTCAAATTGGAAATTTCTGCCGGATCTTAAGCTAAGCTTATAATTTGTGTCAAGGACACTGAAGACGTACAGTTCTTTTTTGTTTTTAAAAAACCCTATACTCATCATCTTCAGGCCGCCTCAGACCTTTCACAAAGACTTGAGCACGACTCCTCACAATCCTTTAGATCATTGAGCAGCTATCTGGCAATGCCAACAAGGTTTGACTGTATTGAACTTGAACTCCTAATTGTTGTGTTTTCAAATCTTCAATAATTCTGTTCTAGTCAAAGAAACACGATGTACATGATACTTAGATTAACAGATTCAGTTTAACTGTTTAATTAATAACATAGTTCTCATTCTCACAGTCATAACAAAAACTGTTCTCTTAGTCTTTTCTTTCAGAACCTTCTTTTTACCAATAATTATTTGGGCAACAGACTGAAGTTTGAACAAGAACATAAATTCACAGATCTTTTATACATAATATAGGCTTATATTCTTTGCTCTTCTATTACAAAGTACATGCTGCAGCTGAGTTTACATAAGTGGGGGGAATATTTTTTACTCTATTTAATGTAGGTGTTGTTTAATCCCCCATCGACACAATTTAGATCTCAGCCAACCTGGACTGAGAGGGATACCACATCCCAGCAGAAAGACTGAGATACTAGATAAAAATGTTCTCCCCACTTGGGAATCTAACTCAGGTCACCTGCATACAACAGCAAAGTGACTAACTGCTACACCACAGACACCAATGGGTGAGGAATACTAGAGGAGAATAGGGTGGCAAGAACAGCAGCATTTACTTTTTATGAAAAGGAGAGAACAAACTGCAACACAGCAAAGGAGGAATGTACACCATTAATATTACCCTAAATCACACTAAATGGAAACATGTTCCTAAATAGGAAGATGACGTTTCTTGTAACACAAGAACTCAAAACTAAAAAGCAGCAGATTTCAGGTAGTAAAAGCGTAAAAACTTATGGTAGGTTAAGTAGGTGTCATGCTTACAAAAATTTTGTTTCATTCTATCCGGTGTTAAGTAACAATAAAAGCTTTCACTTTCATACATGGCATTTGTTTGACAAGATACAGTGACTTCTGACAATGGCAAAAGAACCCCCCCCCCCCCCCCAACCATTATGCCTTTTACAAATCAATGACAATTGGTCACTGATGAAAAAAACCACTGTAAACTATAAACAAGATTGAGCTGATCATGAGTGAGATATCAAATCATCACTCCTAATATTTATCAATATGTGATATTGTGGAAATTCTGGTCATAAGTTTTCAACATATTTTTAAAACACACAAAAGCTTAAAATTAGCAGGAGGATATAAATCATTGTAGTAACCCTATTACATGTGCTGTCAACGGTCAACTTGCACTTATCAGGGGAGAGTCTAAGGAACAAGGATGCACCTTTAAATGTAAGAAATAAGTACTTATGATAGATAAAAAGACACAGAAAACTCTATATTTGGAAAGTTCTTTGAAAAAAAGCTATAACATACACTGAAAAAAAAAATTACGATTTTGACATTTCTCCCCTAAAATGTGCCGGAAATCTTGGAAACTGCCGACCCGATGAAGCCATTTTCACCGACTTGCAGAGTCACGACTGGCGGCGGTTGTAAGTTAAATGTCGATCTCATCTGTACTTGCCAGTAATAGGGTTAAGACAGAAAGCAATATTTTAGAGGACTTTCACCAACAGGCTACCACCAAACAGTCTAATGAGTCGGAGAAAAGACAAGAGCTGCACTACGACTTAAGACCCACTTTCTGTGTACACCTGGCTTTATGTTTGGACAGGTACCAAAATTAAACCTCTGTAGCACGTATTTGAAATAGTTTGATTTTAAAACACAATCTTAAATTGGCTGCCAAAAATCTAACAAATACAGTGTCGTACAAACACACACTGCCAAGTTGAACTCAGCCTCAAAAAGAAGCAAAAATAAAAATATTTGACAAAGAGTATCACAAAAATCAAAGAACTAAGTAATAATATTTCATCAAAAGAAAATACAGAAATTAGAGCCCTCGCTTTCCACAGCAGCAAAAGATCAATAATATATCGGTATCAGCAGAGTTATGGACAACTGGAGCAATAACCCACATTGAAAGGGGTGAGGGGGTGGGGGGGACTAAGCAGTACTTGGAAGACTACAGATGAAGATCATGGTACAGAGGTCAAGTTACAGACTTTCACAACAGAATTTGAATAATTGATGGAAATCAACAGTGGTCTCCTTCACAATCCAGGACAGATCACAGACCAAACAAAACATTCAAAGAAAAATAAATCTGAGTCCGAGTCTAGAATGCTGGCCATAAGGTGCACTTCCCAGAGCAGTGTTGTGCAACAATACTGTACGGGTACACAGAAACCAAAACAACATAAAGAAAACATCAGTCATCTGTGTTACCACTAAACAATGGTACTGCCCACAATCCCCAACTCGTACTCACACTGTACCAAGCCTTGGGGGGGAAAAAGGGATAAACATCACAGGTTTCAGTAATATAAACAAAGAGTCAACCTGCCAGCACTGACGACACAATATACTTATCAGGTTCACAGACAATGCTGGAAAGTTGAATAAAAATCGCACACAGAACTAACTACAAGTCAAGCAATAATAGATGACATAATAAAATAACATTCCAACAATTCTTAGCAAAGACTTTTTCTCTCTTTCTATTCATACAAGCAACTGGTAAATCTGGAAAAAGAAAAGTCATCTCACAGCCTTGGAAGACTGGGACTCGCCCAAATTTCATACTTTTCCCACAAAAATAGTTGAAAATGTGGTCCAAAAACTTCCCAAACATTGGTCAAATCAAAACAATAATAAGATTTTCGTGATCAGCGACCCAAAATTAGTCAAAATCACGTGGGGAACACAATTTAATGCCGGATTATCTAGTTTTTTGTATGTGTATCGTGTTTTGTCAAGGACTGACACTTTAAGGATTAAAAAACTGTACATCTAAATGGAAGTTTCATTACGTCTCGTCCACAGCCAGCTCCAACACTTTTCTGCCATTTCTGAAATGTTCTTGATGGCTGCCTTTCTCTTCCTTCCTTAGAGGCCTAGCTGCCCAGCAGTGTGAATGTTGAGGCTGCAACAAACCCTTGTGCACCCACTTCTACTGGATTGACCTTGGAGCTATAGCCCTCTCCTTGGAGTTGAGAAGAGAGATCTTCGTATTTTGTCAACTTAAATAGGTGCTATGCATCTATCCTACTTTCGTATGAAACAGTCAGCTCGATTAAGAAGATCTTAGCATCAGTTTCTGACCAGAGAATGATATCTGGTTTGAGACCTGTTCTCAAAGAAGTAATAAAGGCTTCAAATTTCACAGACTGCGGAGCTTTGTCGGGAGTTACAAATGAGCCATTCACAACAGATTGGAGAAAAATAAGACCTCCCCTCAGCACACTGGTAAAGATGACTTTATATAGTACAGGAACTTTCTTTGTCTAAAACAATCTCTCTGTCAGTTATGACATTTTCCCACTTTTTAAAATCATGAAAATGGGTTTAGTTACCAAGATGTTTATTAAGGTTGTGTTTAAGCTCTCTCACTCCATTTTACGGGGTCTTTCGCTCCCAATTCATGAAACCAGAGATAGTACAATTTATGATAATTGATAATGAATCCACACCCTTCCCTTTCTCCACAGCTCTCATCTATCACTTACAGCACTTCCACGCACGTTATGACCCCAACAAGAGGTAGTTCACCAGAAATGTAACAGTTTATCATACTGTAAGTTGAAGAACCTCCAGCAGATAACCTCTGTGCTCCAGCAGGTAGCGATGATGAAGGCAAACCTCACTGCTCCGACATGGGTAGGGACCTTATTGAGGAGATTGTGTCCTGACGCTGCAACAGTGGGGGTTTTGGCTTGATATTGTGCTTCTGCATGTAGGACAAGAACTGGTCGGGGATCTCTTCCAGGACTTCTTTGGCAAGCCGGGCCTGTACAGACACCACATCTTCTCCGTTGCGACCTAAGAATTCTCTCATCGGGACGAACTGCAAAGAAGGAAATGCAATACATTACATTTCTTGGTTTTAGTAAGCATATTACGCCACTTGCAACACAAATAGGTCATTCAAGTGCCGAAGACTATAGGTGTTACTAAAGAGTACTAGAGATGAAGATGAAGACGAAAGATGTTTGATATGACATCTCATCAGTCAAAGAAAAAGATTCTATATTATATTGCAAATAAATTATCTTTTCAATCATATTGAGAAAAAGGCAGGGGACAAAAACAAAATTACGCCCTATAGTGTTTCAAATTGCTTACTGGCAATGTGTGTATTTCAACATGACCAATGCTACTACCCAGACCTGCAACTCTATGATGAAATCTATCAATCAGGATGTCAGGGGGAAAAAATTGGAATTTGGTGAAAAAATCGGGATCAACGACAATTCACCAACGTGACTGCCAAGACGACTTTAAAATTTTCCAGGGGTGTCCATAAATATATCCATGTATAGGCCCTGTGTGTGTGTGAGTATCACATCAAGGACTCCCAGTCCAAGTTCTACCCCCCCACTGTAGGTCTCTAAAGACCTTGGACAGAAGCTTATTTTGAGAGCAACAGCAGAACAATGAATAATATTGATCATTTGTATGCCGCAATAGAAACAATTATCAGGCCATCACCGAAGAATTCTGAGTGCTAACTAATTAGATATTGAGAATGTCCCAAGTCAGAATGCCAAATTGATACTACTTCCATTATAGTTAAAATAACACGTGCAAGCAACGATTCATCACAACTTGGGGCAAGTTTACTACTAAATCAGGCATCGATATTTCGAAAAATAGTGCTCCGAGTTCCTGCTGACTAGTTTAAACGGGTGCTTCCCACAACAGAAAAGAAGACAGAGTAAATTTTTAGAAAAATCCAAAACAACAGACGGTACACAAAAAATCGGGATACACGCGATCAAAATCGGGAAAACCGGGATGCTTGAGATTTGCTGCAAAAAATCGGGATATCCCAATTAAATCAGGATGAGTGGCAGGTCTGCACTACCCCTGATATTTTTGCTGAAAAAAACATCCATGTTATCTGTAGGAGAAATTAAAGTGGAGATTAAAAGTTGAACAATGTTCCGCTCCAAGTGTTATATGGTTATCTTTTCTGAGAGATTAGAAGCCATCCCCGCCCCATCCACCCACTATGAATTGCATTTAAATCAGAAAGCATGAAAGTTGACTGAAAATTTAAATTGTTGCAACATTTTTTAGCTGATAAAAAATGGCTCAAACTCATTTATTTAAATGTATTTGTGTGGGTAGATCTATAAAAATTTGATGGAAGGTGCAGTTATTTTATTAACCTATTTGTTGCCTTATGGCGTACCTAGTACCGAATATCATAAAAATGCTTAATTTTTGGCTGTATGCCATACCAATTACGTCACGCAAGTTGGCAAAATTTCCCGCTCCTGGTTGCCTATATGACGTTACAAGTACGGCACACTAATCACCTGGCTCTAATTCTTCTGTACAGAGTTTTAGTGAAGAACTGCGCGGTTTCATATTCCGGAATAAAGGACGCACATATCAGTACCAAATTTGCTTATATTAACTTTACTGCTAGGCTTGCGAACGGTCGATAAACACAGTAAACACAGATCTAGGCTTACGGGCTGCTGCATGCTCTCATAAAACGTAAACACCAAAATGACTTTTAAAGGAAACTTTTACTTTTAGTAAGAGTTTTACGGCACTTGCAACACAATAAGGTCATATTGGAGAAAAGATGTGTCACAAGAGAGTAACATACACAAAAAAGGAGGAGGAGAGATAAGGATGATAGATGTTTTATAGGAAAGAAGGAGCTAACCACACCAGAGCACCCGCCAACCACCCACTTTTAAAAGAAAAAAAAATCATTTTTTGGCTTAGATTTGAAAGTTATTCGAAATTATGTGCAAGATTTGGGGAAACAGGGGATGAGAGGTGTGAGAAAATTGACACGATTGAAGATACAGGGTCCGAAATATCTCACCAGTGGGCTAGATCTAGACCACATGCGTCTACTAACACTGAGACATGAGACTGCTGTCCTGGGTAACGAGCTCAGCTGAAAATCAGTGCTGACAGAAGTAACACATACCTCCGGGCAATGAAAGGATTAATACACAATCAGGAACAGACCCAGAACTTCATTTTTATTGCAAACAAAGTTTATCAAAGCACAGACAGATAAACCACTTCTAAATCTTAATCTAAAAGACTTTTGCAACAATACTGCAGGTATTCTAAACCCTATCGTAACATCCAATAAAAGGGGATCTTACTACCTCTCTGGGGAAACCCAAGTGTACATGAATAATGCAGCCCGCAACAGAAAAAGAATGACAAAGCCACTTCAGAAACAATACACAATAACTTTAATTTATTTGTAACTCTTTTCTTTATCAAATCTTTTTTGAAGCACTAACCTGCACAATGTCTCTCTCTGCTACCCTGCCCCTTGAAGACAGTCTCACTTCATCTCCATCCAAGACTTCCATTGCTGCAAAAAAATAATGATCAAAGAAAAAAAGGTTACAAAATGCAACGAGAAAAAATTTTAAAACATAGGAGGTTCAACAAAATATGAAATGAGACCTTAAATCTCTTAGCACTTAAAATACAAGTATTCTCTCATCCAATGTAAAAGTACCAATTTTTTTTTAAAGAGTAAAGTACAAGATCTGACTACTGCATAAATAAGCCATTGGGTTTTCTCTGCAACAAAAGGTACCAATGAAATCTAAGACAGCTAATTTGGGAGTTAAATTTAAAAGACCCAAAGTCAAAAGGCGCATGATATAACATCTTTAGGTCTAGATAAAACTGGAGACAAAAGAAAAGTAAACACTTTTTTGTAAAGACAAAAGCATTAGTTTAATCTTTTTATAGTCAAAAAGATAAAACACATACATATATTGAGGAAATTGATTTTTTAAAAGTATGACGATGAGAAAGTGTCCTTTGTTACATGCAACACAAAGTGGAATATAATTTATATATAATGGCAATACACTGGTGCATCTAACTCACCATCAAAGTCAGCATCACCAACACCAATAATGATGATGGACATTGGCAAGCTTGCTGCCTGGGAAGAGAAAAAAAGAACAAAATAAACTCGCTTGCTAATAAATCCCCAGAGACAATTTCAGTACAAACACAATGCAAGGAGCTGTGTCAACCTCTTCATTGCCTTACCACATATGAAGTGTATGTTATGAAAATTTTTTTGGTTGGCTTTTTGCAAAACCATGGACGTCACGTAAATTGACAAAAGTTTGCCATTCTTGGTTGCCTATAAGACATTACATATATGTCCCACTAATCAAATGGCTCTAATTTTTCTGGAAGGAGATTTAGCCATTAGTACTGCATGGATTTGTATTCGAGAATAAAAAATGAGCATATTGTTACTAATTTAATAGTATTATTTTACCTCAAGGCTTGCAAGCAATTGATAAACACAGGTCTAGTCTTGCAGACGAAAGCGTTCTCTTGCAAAATCCTTACAAATAAGCAGCAGATTTCACATTTCGACAGAGATTTGCAAGTTGTTCAAGCTATGGGGAAGATGGGGATGGGGAAGGTGAGGAAGGTGCCACTATCAAAGACCTGGTGTCTGAATGTCATACGTGGGCCACAACCAAAGATCGAGTCCTGAACTGTTCAGAACCTATGGAAACTTGTAGACACAAAGTTTACAGATATTGTTAATTTAAACATCTTGTATCAAGAAATCGGGCAAAATTTGGACCAATAAAAAAATCTGGATTTCCAGAATTATCAAGAAAAAATCTGGACAATCTAAAAAATCCAAACTTCCGGATTTATTAAAAAAATAGGCACGTCTGATAAATGTTTGCTTCCTGCTCTATATGCCAAGCAATTTAACTTTAAGCCTGCAAGGTAATAGAGCCAGAGGTACAAGTTGACAATATCCAAGAAACCATGAACAGTGAAGTACCTCTCCAACAGTGGTGCTGTGCTGTTCACTGCACAGCAAGGTAACTGAAATCTGTTTACAGAGGTAAGAACATATCAGCGACTGGAGTCACAGAAAGCAAAGTGTGAAAAAATTAGGAAGGCAAGGAGGGAGGGGCAAGCTAGACAAGTGACAGAACTCCACCTTGTATCATCACTTCAGCTTCAAGCCTCAGAAACTTGGACAATATCCTTTGAAGGGTCTCTACATTTTTTCTTTACTTTACAAGGTTGTGATCCTACCTGTTTGATGACCCCTGAACCATTCAATTAAAAACAGCAGGTTTAGAAAAATACAAAAGTCAGTTTCACTTCAACATAGCACACTCCTCTATGCTATCACTTTAACAGAATCAACCCAGAAAAATCATTCCGAGACTCACATTGACGATAGCCTCTGTGGTCTGCGGCATGTCCGTGATGATTCCATCTGTGACTATCAGCAGAATAAAGTAGTCGTTGCCATCTCTTGTAGCTGAAGCAAATCTGAAGTGTAAAAAAATGAAAATAAAATAACATTGTTGAGAGTCAACATGATACCAGACCCATTTTTGCTGGGTCAAAGTAAATATTAGTAGAAGGACCATCCCACAGCACCCACCAGTGATCAAAGAAGTTGAAGAAACAAAAGCATGGATTCTTTTTCTTTCCAAGATAAGAATTTTTGTGCAAATTACTTTTTGACCCTCTCCAATTGTATAAAATCAAAATCAAAAATAAGGATTGGAATGAAGGATGAACGTTAGAGTATTGCTGAGAAATAACATGATGACAAAAGCTTACTAAGCAAAATTTCTCTCACTTTTTATTATCATTTTTTTTTCTTCACAGAAAAAACATTTTGGGGGTGATAATCTTGTTTCCTTTTATTCTTTACTCATGCACTTATTAATTGCTTAACACCTTGACTGCTAACCATACATACAGCCCACATGCTAAGGAAAATTCTACCTTGCGCAAGACGTCACGGGTCACAATCTTTACCCGACGATTGTTCACTTATCATAAGAGACAAATCGGTAAAACTTGGACCAATAGACAGATAAAAGAAGATATCAATTCATCCATTGACAAGACCTGCATAGAACAAGTCATAATGATGAAAGCGACTTGAAAGTACTAAAACTGAACAAGCACTCCGATTCTACATACTGGCTCTGTCTTGTACGATTAATTTCTGTGAGAAAGACAACACATCTCACTTTTTATTGATAACAAAACTTGTGATTCTTGCCAAACTAATTATCAATAAAAAGAAAAATGAAAAGATGGTTTTATCCAGAGACAAGACTCGGTTAGAACAAGCCATAACAATGTAGACAAATGTTAAGTACTGAGTCAAGCATTTCTAGTCAACGCCTCGGGTCTGAACGTTTCACATGTTTTGTGTCAGGAAAACAACACACCTTGCTTTGTTTTCAGCTATAGAACCCGTGCTTTCCATTTCATAGTCTATAATATATTGATATGATCTCATAGCTAGAATGATAAGCTTTCAATGGATGCCATTCTCTTTAATCAAAACTTAGTAGAAGCTGAGATATCAACGAAACAAAACACAGGTTTCAGCCGCCTTACGAGATACTTTTTTACAGCACTAGGCGGTGGAGTATCGCGTCATATGATATATGTTTACAGTGCAATCAATGGTTAAGATGAGTTCATCTTTTCTTACTTTACTTCCAAACATACCTTAGAGGGTTTATCTCTTTCCCATACCCACAAGTACCTTAGTGGGTTTACCTCTTTCCCTTACTCTCTTAATTTAACCATTTACCACCTAGAGCAGAGTTGCGCCGAGTCTATCGATTTGCACCTAGAGCGGCATTGTGCAACATTTCAATCACCGACGCCCGACACTGTTGTGTTATGCATTTCTGAGTCTAGGAAAAATGTCCCATTAGAATTAACTCAAAACGAGGTTATAAAGGGAAAGTACAATTGTTCTACTTTCTTAGAGTTTTTGAATGTCAAAATTGACCTAGAAATAATGTGTGGGTGAATTTTAAAAGAAAATTTGATGAAATGGAGGGTGAGAAGGATTTGGAACTTTGACAAATCCCAGAAAACTTTGAAAACACAAAAATTCAGCCCTAGAAGTAATCTTGACCACACAAAAACAACTTTTTAATTCGATGAAATAGATGGATGACAAATAAAAACCTGACAGTCACAACTAAATGGGAGTAATAAATAACTTGCCCATTCTGTACCACAGCGGAAACAGGCTTGTCGGAAGCGATATACTTTTCCTAACATAGCTGTGTTTTCCCCCACATCATTTTATAAAGAATTTTTTTAATGAATATTTTAACATTTAAAACCATATTATGTATGATATTTTTAGAGGATTATCTCCCTTTTCCTGGATTTCGGGGCATGCATCGAGATAAATCCGCAGGAGTTAAATGATTAATCAATCTTATTTGAAGAGCGTGAGCGTAGAAATACAGTTTCCTCGTTTATTTTCCCAAGTCTACCTCAGTCTACAACTTACTTGGCCACATGGTTGACAACAGGTGCAAAGTTTGTTGGTCCATACAACTGCACAGAATGCAAAGTCTTGTGGTAAGCATCAAGCACACCTTGCACACCTGAGCAGTAAGGGCTTTGGGGATTTCCATTCTGAGGGGGATAAAAGGCAGTCTCTTAAGATTATAATTCAAATAAAGCTATGAACACTTTAAAAAAAACAAAAAAAAAAAACTTACCAATTACTAGGTGTCCATGTCATCACACTCTGTCCACTAAAAAGCACATTCAGAGACCACAGCCTTTACTTATTATCGTGTACTTTAAATTATTTGACAATCACCGACTCAAATAAATGCATGAATGGATAAACCGTTCCACAACAGATGGTGAGCAACACACATCAAGCTTTTCTTTTCAGTTTTTAACTTAAATTCAATATATTTAAAAGTGTCACTAACATGTATTTGTAATAAATATTTGACAATCACAATAAACAAAGGAAATCCAGAAACTTATAATTTTGAATAACTTGCAAATCTAAGTCAAAAAGTGAAAATTTTCACCTTTATTAAGTCCTTTAGATGTTTATGTTTTGTGAGATCGTGCAGTCATTCTCAAGACTAGACCTGTGTTTATCAATCACTTGCAAGCCTAGCAGTAAAATAATGCTAACAAATTTGGAACAGATATACACAATACGAATCCTCGTTGTACTTCATATCTCCATACAGAAGAGCCAGAAGACTAAACGGACGTACACATAACGTCTTATATGCAACTAGAACATCAAACTATGAAAACTTCTGTGACAGCCATGGCAAGGCACAAAGCTAAAATTTATGCATTTGTGACGTACCAGGTAACAAAGGCAACAAAGGGTTTAAAAAACTAAAGAAAAAAAAAAAGAAAAGAAAAGAAAGGGAAAGACCAAAAGAATCACCCATATTTTTGACAAGCAAATCTCACTTACTGAGTGAACTCAAACAAACAACATACCAAAGCAAACTCATGAGACACAACACCATCAGGCGGAAGTCTTGCTCCGAATCCCAGGGCAGGAAACATCTTTGCCCTGATAAAAATTTAAAAAACATAGAAGACTAACCATATGGACTGGGTAAAAATGTTTGTCCAAAATGTGCTGTGACTCATTCGGGTAGGGAAAAGAAAATCCAGATCACATATTACACGACAACTTAACACAAAAACATATTTTTTATTCATACATTTCAAGTAGAATATAAGGAAAAATACAGAGATTAAAAAAATAATTGCCTATTAACCCTTCCAGCGGTGAATTATTTCTTAACTTCATGGTCCCTCAGATGCAGATTACTTTTGATTTGCTAAACTGACACACGGTAATGTCAGAAAAACAGTCATAAAACACACATCCCACTGAAGCTAGAAACTTGTATCATACATCATAACAACCACAAATGAATGAAGAATAAATATAAACATATATATAAGAGTTGGAAAAATTTTTTCTACTCATATTTACTGCTGTGTTTGTTCATTTCTTTGTGTGCTTTTGTCAGTGTATTCAGTTCAAATGTTCGTAAATAGGGTTTGTGCGGTAATCCATGGAACAATCAGGAGGATAATGTGTAAATTGTTCACAACTGGAATGTGTATTTCACCCTCTGTATCATTGATGTCATCCTCATATAGACTGTCAAGAAGATTCCGAGCGTTTTGATTCAATTGGGTTCTCGTAACAAAGTTAGATCTAGCGGGATCTGCCACTTTAATCACGCACAGATATTGTAAACAAACGGAGTCAGGATTTTCATCTACAAAACTGCCTACAATTCACAGCTTCCCACCTGGGGCGAATACAAACTAGGGGAACCACTCTCCTTTCAATTTGTAGCAGTCTGCTGTGTATAGGAAGCACAGGAACTTTGTGGTGAATCAGAAAACTTACCACCCTGGGTTAATACTGTTATCGCCACAATTATTGTAGCGAGCCCCGCTGGGGGACCAAAAAAGTCTCTGTGACTTTTGTCGCAAGCACCACTCAAAGGGTTAATAATAGTATTCAGCGCTAAAATTTATGCAACAAAGGGTTTGAAAAACACCCCCTAAAAAAATTAAGCAAATCTAACAAAAGCTTAACCATAACAAAGCGTGTCAAAGACCAGCAACACACACACACACACACACACACACACACACACACACACACACACACACACACACACACACACACACACACACACACACACACACACACACACACACACACACACACACAACCCTCCTCTCCTCCATGAAAGTAACCAATGCACTTTCTCTCAATCACTTACGTGTCATAGTCTTGAATAATATCACCAACAGACTTGATTGCTGTGGCATATGGGTTTGGTCTGTATGGATTCATGTAATGCAGGGAAGCTGGAGATTTTGGATCTCCATTAGAGGCTGTGAAATCTACTGCAAAAGTACAATGGATCCTGGTTCTGAAACATGAAAAAACAGGTTTGGGTCAAAAGAGATGTAAAACAAACAAGAAATTCATGCTTCAAAGATGTCACAGGAGGGTACATCCTAATAACTGCTCAGCCACTAGAGCGTGATAGTTTAATTTGAGGTAGTCAAGGCACACAATTTCATGAGTCAACAAAAGAGCATTTATTACCTAGCTGTGGGACCATGCGGAGCTATAGTGAAAACATACAGACAGATATGACGCATGCCAGAAAGGAGATGAAATCACTCATTCAGATTTATTCAAAATTTTTTTTTTTTAAACAGTAAAATTTAATTGACTTATCCAACCTCATGAACACCCTTAAAAACACTTAAATTCACAAATTAAGATGTTCCTTCCCCATAATTATGGAAATGAATAAATTTTTACAAAGAGGTCTTTCAAATCAAGTGTGCCAAATGCACTTTTGAATGTATCACACACAAACACATGCATGCACACGCACGCACACACACACACACACACATGCATGCATACGCACGCACACATACACACACACACACATACACAAACACATACACACACACACACACAACTACATACAATAATGAAAACCTTACCCTCCTCTTACATAGTCCAAGAATGTATACACTTTCTCAATTCTGCAAGACATAAGCTCCACCTAAGTAACAAAGACATAACATTCTTTAGTCAAATTCAAAAGCAGCATATCAAGTAAAGAAAAAGCTGTAATGTCTATCTATGGATAACTCCACCCAAAAAAAACAACATGGTACATGTAACTGAGTATACCGTTAAAGAAATCTTTCAAAAAGAAGGCAAAACAAACACCAAAAGGAGAAGAAAAAAATGTTCAATGTATAGTTTAATTAGAAACATATCACGATATGACAGAATTTTACTGAAAGGAAAAGTCTCCGGGGATTACTGGAAGCAACAAAATACACAGTAAAATGCAAAATTGGATAAGTAGTAGTGAACAACAAGTCAGTACAATAAAACACACATCTCAATGAGAACAGATGAGGAGAACAGGACAGTGGAAAGAAGTAGAAGGAACATATCACAGAAGACACACCATTAATCCGCTGCAAAGTCGTAAGGGGGGAACACTACATGTGTAAGAAAAAGAACATGAGATCACTTGACAGAGGGACAGACAGAGGATTGACAAAGCAAAGAGGACAATAAAATTAGCCCAACAGAAAGTCTTTCAAAACAAATGTATGAAATCTTGGGTACGGCCAGCTTGGCACAGTCAACTTAAATTGAGGCAAGAAAAATGACACAAATATTGAAATAAATGATCGATAGAAGTCTGTCGTGGGGCGTATCTTCCTCTGCAATATAAAGAGATTTTTCAAACTTTGTAAAAACATACCGTTCCAGAATTCTGATAACTCTTGCCTTTTTTCTGTTGCTTCTTGGGATTTATGCACTGAAAATTAGATAGACAAAAAGACCATGTTTTATGACACGTTTCAATCAAAGTTGAGGATAAATTGATTAATGATTAAAACTTTAGATCAAGCACATGTTACAGAAGTGATCCATTCATAAATGCAACATAAGTCAAAGGGATTTCCCTCCTGTCTATCTACAGAATCTCATAGCATGTATTTTTTTTTCTTTAGGTAAGACAAGAGAACTTTCCTATCTGAACTGAAAGTGTTTCTCACCACTACAGTCAACAACAATGAAAGGCAAGTACATGAGACCTCAAACAGTACAAAGCAAACAATGCCATTGTCTATCCAAAAGTGCCCAAGTCGTTCTTTTTAAGTTTTAAGAAAATCAAAGATAAAAGGGATTGCTCAAATCATAGCTCAGGCATGGGCACTTGCGATTTTTCAAATTAAACACAAGGAACCAAGTAATGAAACAAAACATAACTATTCTGTAAAGATGTCATGTCTTTATTCGAATAATATGTATGGAACTCAATGCTATAGAAATGAGATCTAATATTAGTAATAGCTTTGTCTAGAAAGTGATTTGAGCGATTGTGGAATGATGCAGACATGCAGACAATATGAACAATGTCTTGAACATATTCATACCATCTTAATATCTGTAACTCTCACTCACACATATATCCACCTACAGGTGCATCTCCCCCCCCCCCCCCCCCCCCCACACACACACACACATGTAACTGTTGGTGAGTTACACCCTATCAACACTATCTAGATCATTTAGGAGGTAGGCTGCTTTGACTCTGATTTTTCGGTAAAACTCAAAACCCACTGTTGAGCTTTATTTGGATCGTAAAACTTGTGCAAGGTCTCTACGTCTCCTTGCCCCTTCAGGGCAGTGCTACTGACTGAAGTGTCTTAAGGCCATTCCCAAAGGGGGGATATTAACATGTTCTTAAGAATGCACAGTAAAATTGTAAATGGGCTGATTTATCAATGTCATGCTCATACTGTGCCGGAACAACATAGGGGGAACTGCTGCTTTTTGTTTCCTCATCCTTGCTATCGTCACTTTTCCTCTACTTCTTTGATATGTTTGTCACTCTCTTGTGAACTGCTATTTCCAGAGTGCTTTGATAGTCGAAGCAGACTTTGTGCTGTTGAGGCTAGAGAGGTGAGCAGAGTAAGCCTGATTCCCCATTTGGACTTCTCTGTTGGCATCCACCCCTTGGCGCTCATATGACCGTATGCAGTTGCGAGCGCCGTAAAACCTTACTAAAGCTAAAGCTCACTGACCCTGCCAGTCAGGGCCACCATGTACAGTAACCACAGTATATACCACAGTCAGGAGAACTTACCTCATACTTTGTGCTAGCACCGGGTCCTCTGGACAGTTCTCTCAAAGTGGTGGTGAATACGCCAATAAAATCATGGCTGAAAACACCCAAAGTAAACATGACTCAGACATCAGACAAGTTGTCAAGAATGCATTAGAGAAACATAAAAAGGCGGGGGAATCACACACTGACCAGAGTCCATGGATACATTTTGATGCCCCCTCCCCCCAAATTCTTCCCCAAGAAGAATAGTTTTTGTATAGACAGCGTCTCTGCTTGTTTTTGTCTGAAAATTATCAAAACAAACTGTACGTAAAATTTGATCATCTGTTCTCATGTTCAGTAGACTGCACTGTTAGTTTAATTTGCAGGACACATTTCTGAAAAAAGTTACAATGAAATCTGTTGAGCAAAGGGTCTGTTCCAACCCTCAGAGGTATCCTCATAGTTGGAAATGTATAACATTTTATTTAAATAAGCTAAGAGTAAAGATACTTTCTTGAAGTAGTGTAACTGAAGACAAATCCAAATTTACCTCATAATCCGCTTGTAGATTTTGTCTTGTGATACAGATGAAGAAAAACCCTGTTTTAACTTTTAAGAAAATGTATAGGAATTCATAAAGCTTTACTCACCCTCCATCTGCATCCCAGTCATGACACTCCACTTTGATGGACCTAGTGAAAACAACATTAAAAATATTCTAGTTTCATAAGTGCACATGTGTAAAACCATGAGAAAAGATGAAATTATACACTGTTTATCCAACTGAAAACAACCAAAAATGATTTGAAAGTCATAATTTAATCACAATCACAGCTCTGACCTGAAAATTTAATGGAGAGATAAAATAATTAATAGTCAAACTTTTATCCCCACCTCCCAGGCAGCATTGCAACATTACCCTCGCTGCTATGCCCCCCTACCCCCACCCTACCCCAGTACAGCATAAGAACAACAGAAAATATGTGACATGAATATGATTTACCTTAGAACTAAATCAGATTTATACTGTGCCCAAATCATCTTGGAACAAAATACAGGAAATCAGTATGCTCCTGACAACAACACTCATCAATTAAGTTGAAACAAAGCAAATTTCCAATGGACTGTTGAGTAGTTTAAGCAGTTTTGATTCTCATATCTTCCAAGGGAAAGCATTCTAGTTCTGAAGACTTCTGAAGAAAATTATCTTTCTCCCTTACTTTCGGAACTCTTCTTGAGGGAAAAAATTTTCATTGTATATGTGTCACGGCGCGGTGGAATCAGGCACTCGTCAATTTTTTTACATATGGAGATATTGGTATCATTTGAAAGCTATTCATTTGCCTTGCTTTCATAGAAAAATACCCATCTATCTTGAATAGAAGTCAAGATATTTGCGATTGAAGGAGATAAGGTAGTTTGGTTTCGGTGGTAAAATTTACGAGAAAATGGCCGCCAAAGTTTGGTAACTTCAATAGCTTGAAAACTTAAAAATCACATATTTTGAGTCTTTTATCAAAGTTTTTCAATAAAATTCACCTGGTAATGTGTTTTTATATGGACATAAAAGGTGAGGAGCAAAAAAACAAAAATTTGATAAAAATTGCCAAACTGGCAGAAAAATGCCTGTTTCTTCAATTTCATTATTTTGAAGAGCGCCTGATTTCACCATGATGCCTCACATATGTTGGTCATCTCAATTGACAGAAAGGTTTCACTAGTTAAAGAACATAAAAGAACATAAAATACAAATCAAAGGAAAGCATGACTCATGCATTCTATCACAAAGTTGTAAAAAGCACAAGCTCAGCACATACCTGTCATAGTCACCGTTGCACAGAGCTCTGACAGACAAGGCAAATGGCCGCCAAGTTGGGTTCAATGTCCGCTTAATGACCTCTGTTCTGTGCACGACTGTGAAACTGGAGAGAGGGAGTATGTAAATAATAACTGAACCAACAGTGCAGATTTAATTATACAGTATGTTTTTACAATTTACATTCAAGTGACATTCTACATACATGGACTTCAGGCTTAATGAAAAGTCAAAACTGTAAAATTGAAATTTTGCTTAACTTGTATACAACGGTAAGTTTTGACGATTTACTGTTTACAAAAGCAAAATATTATTTCCTTTTCCTGATCTGCTGTTAGAAAGACTCGACATACTGAATTCATGAATATCAAACTAGACTTGTTGTAATTGAACACAGTGTGATGTGACTATTACTTTCTTCTAAACACATATTTTCTTACTACATTCATAATTCTACTAAGATTTACATCACTGCTTCTTGCAGAGCTCTTAACATGAAAGTTCGGCTGGTTGGAGCAGGTCAGGTCAGAGATTTTTAAAATACAAGGGTTTTCCCTGAGAGAGCACAAAGTTGTTAAGCAGCATAAGGAGGAAAAAGAAACTAACCCCTTTTAACCTTTGCCCCCCCCCCCCACACACACACACACCCAAGCCAAGAGAACTCAAATTCTGTACCTTAGCTCCCTTGAATCCACTCAGTCACAGACGACTATATTGAAACTATTCAAACACACCAACCTAAAAGTATCCCAATGCAAACTGACTTGGTTTATTTCAACATTGGTAGTCACTTACACACACACATGCGGAAAATACTGGTGGTGGGCAACAGTAAAAAAAATGCTGCCTAATTTGAATCTGCATTATTACTCAGCAATCAACTTTTCACGAACATTCAAAGCCCATGGGTTGTTTGTTTCTCTTCTGTTCAATCTAAAGATAACAACACTATCCTTATGTGATTTAATACAATTAAAAACATCAACAGACTATACCAACTGACCGTTGACTGTTACATCAAGTCTTATAATCGATGTGTGGTACAAATTTTCTCATCTTCTCTGACAAACTCTATCCAGGGTACTGTAAGTGGACCTTTGAAATAGCCTATTCGGTGTTTAGTAGCCTACAGTGTTGTCATTTTTTTTTAAACACTTAAAAACAAAACATACCTGCCATCTTCATTAGAGCGGGAAAAGGTGAGGAACGGATCAGATTTCCCAAAGAAATCTTTCTTGTCCAGTTTGTGCGCTCTGAACTGAATCAGAGCTTGTTCCTGTAAAAAAAAAGCCAAAAAAGCATACAAATACAACTCTTCCATCAATAATCCTCGGGAAAAACAAACATCCCACTGTTTTATGAATTGCAGCCTGTGTGTTATGTAGGGCAACTTACTCAAACCTAAGTTTGTAGTACAAGTCTTAAAATAAAAATCTCTGCCCAGTGTTACAAAAATACCATAAAGTAAAACATATTAGTATCATAACAGCAAATTAGAAGGAGGGAAAGGAAGAGGTGCAGTTGTCTCCACCTAAGATCCTGGTGCTTAGAAGCAAGAAAAATGCAGGATCTTAGACGAACGGGATCTTCACCGATTCATCAAGGGGAGAATTACAATTGGTAGAATGATCTCAACCTACTTTGAAATGAACTGATGTGACACCTGGGTCGATTTATGACTTAGAGTGAGAAAAGAGTGGTTAACCTTGATGACTAATCCCAATGGTATGAGGCATGTCATTTTCACTTATCCAATCCGGAGTCTAAAGATCTACCCATTGCTCCTACCCTTAACCTGACAGAAATTTATAGCTGTCCATCTCAGATTGAATTCCTTGCTTATGTTGTAACGTACCATTGTGTTGGGACTGCAATAAAATCTAGTCAGTGTAGCAAATTCGGAAGCACAACTGACAGATAAGAGTGATGGTCTGGATATCAAAAGCTTTAACGAGCTCAGTTTGACGTGATCCTGTTTGATATAGCCTTGTAGGCCTTTCCCACTCAGCAAGTCTTGTAAGTTCAGGTGGAGGGTTCAAATGCGAGTGCAATGCTTGTGGAAAACAAAAACGAAGATAAGTTCACATCTCGGCAAGATCCCGTCCGGGGTAAATATTATAAGCTCTCATCGAAATTAATACTAGAATTGTGATCACAATTACAAGAGTGGATGATCTGCAACGCAACGAGCAATACGATGATTGCAAACTTTCGTTACTTTGTTGTTCAGCTGTGATTGCTCAGACTTTGGTTCCATAAATTATGATCTGAAATGTGGGATCTTACCCAAATGTCCCTTCAGGTAGAGATTTCAGGGGTGGCCTTCGCGCAGTAAAAATTTTGTTTTCTTAAATCAGTGGGATCTTGCACGAACCGCAATCGTATATCACTGTTTTATAAAGACAGTAGAACTTAACGACATGCCCCTGCAAATGTTAAATAAGAACATCGCATGACAGCCACTGTGGTGTCTATATATCATATAATTCTGGTGGCCCAATCTTTGCAACACTTTTTAGAAGAAACCTCCCACTCTTCTGATTTCAAAATTTACATGAAAATAGGATTCAATATCTTAAAGAGCATGACAGAGTCAGAATTTCCTTATTTTGAGCTTTAAAATTAATAAAACTGTATTTTTCCATTGCAATGTATTGTTATGAAATACTCCAAAATTGAGTCATTGTTTTCTAATTGAACTTTTGAAAAATGGGAGTGTCCGCTGTTCAACCAAAGCTGCACAAATAAAAGCAAATGAGAATCCTGGAGAGGACAGCGGCAGTGAGTGGTTAGTGAGTTCAGGCTCACAATAATGTCAAGTAAAGATCTAGAAGACACGCCGTTCAGGTCTATGCTGAGGGTGTTTGCTTCTTTTCTTTCGTTTTGCTCAATTACTTTTTTGTGAACTTTGTAAATTCCCCAGTATTTGGGTTCCAATGCACTTGCGCTCCATTTAATATTTAGCATAAAAATTGCGAAAACCATGAATCCAGCAACGCCCAGGAAAATAAGCCAGGTATGCAGCAGTCAGTGGGGTGTGTCTTTGAATAACATGTGATAACCCTTGCTCAAACGCAGGACGCTGCACAATGGTAATGAGCAATGGAGGAAATAGAGGATGAATTGCCTGTTTTTGTGAAATTGTGTTGTGTATTATTCATCCATTTACCCAAAGGAATCAATTAAGTGGAATTCATTATTTTTATTTATATTTGTATTTAATAGATATGTGTCACGACGCAGTGAAAACAGGCGCTTGTCAATTTTTGGGCATGTGGCGTCATTGCTGTCCCTTAAAGCTTGTTTATTTGTCTTGCTTTCAATGAAAAAAAACCAACTTAATTATCTTGAATAGAGGTTGAGATATTTGTGATTGAAGAAGGTAAAATTAGTGAGAAAATGGCTGCCAAAGTTTGGTGACTTCCATGGTTTGAGAGTAATTGGAAAATGAAAATTTACACTTTTTGTTCATAATCAATGTTTTTTTTAGTAAAATCCACACTGAAATGTGTTTGGAAGGGGAGATAAAAGGTGTTGAGCCAAAAAAAGAAAAGTAAAAAAAAAAATTGCCAAATCGGCAGAAAAATGCTGGGTTCTTAAAATTCATAACTTTGAAAGGCGTTAGATTTCACCATGCATGATGCCTCACATATGTTCCAAAGATGTAGTGACAGGAAGACTGTTGTCAATTAGTCGCTATTATAGTGATGGTCTAGAACAATGCATGATTTATTAAGTCCAAAGCTCTAGGTTGTCATGCTACAGGGATGTGGGCAGCTAGTAATACATTTTCTATCATTTTGTACAGTACTCTCAAAATCAGTTCAAAAGAGAATTTTAAAATCTAAGACATGTAAATGAAAACAACATAATTAAGTAGTAAAATTGACCACAGTAATGGGAGAAAAAGAAAGCCACAGGAAAATGTGTACGATATACATAAAAAACAAAAGTCGTCTCACCTTGCAGCTACTAAGTTCCTCAGCTCCAACTGAAAAACAGAAATGAAGACTGTGACTTCCATTATTACTTTCAGCGCAATAACAAATGAGAAAAAAGAGTAGACAAAAGGAAACACACAAAATTCGGCTGACACTTGGGCAAATCTAGAGTTATGTTTGTCTTTTTTTTATTTTACAACTTTTAGTTCATAGGGTCCAAGTACTAGACCCAAGATGGTCATAAAAAAGAAAGGCCCCGCACTAAGGGATTCAGAGCATTCACTCTTCCAAGATAAGGAGTTTTGTGTGATAGATCAGCATAACACAGAACACGCTAACCCTAAGCCAAAGATGTTGTGGAGTATGTGCGGCACCTCATCAGCAGGAGACTCACGACACCTGTTGCTGAGGCAGTGGACTATCTATATACACACATACACATACCTCCCCCCCCCCACCGGTGGCCACAGAAATATGAGAACTAGAGGAAAATCACGACACAAAATCGCACCAGCAGACAACCCAGATCCGACCTGTACAGCCTGCAAAGAGGAGGACCAGACTATGGACCACGTATTACTGAAATGTGTCGCCAAATATCGTGCCAAAACACCACTGCCGGGACATTTCAGTGACCATATTCAGCACTTTTCAAGGACCCCGAGTGAGTGTGGAGTTCCTGTGTGCTGTTGGCATCGCTTACTGCTTATGACGTGACAGTGCCAGAAGGGAGAGAGAGAGAGAGGGCCAGAGAGTGCAAAGAATAAAAAGACCCTGACAGAAAGAAATTAGAAAGGATTAGGCAAAAACTCAGCCTCAATGCTTTCCCAGTAGTATCCTCCAAACACTCGTAACAAATAGAAAAAAGAAATAAATTTCTTCTGGCCCTGACCATAAGTTTGAAAGATTTGCCTATCTATTAGAACAAGAACAAGCTTACAACTGCCATTAACTTAGATGTATGTATAAAAAAAATTTGCTAGGATTATAAAACAAAAATGACAGGCAAAGCAATTCAAGTTCAAGTTATAGCAAAATGCTGACTTCTATTATACCAAACTAGTAACTGCTTCCTTTCATCTTACTTTGTGTAATTAAACACTTCCATCATTATATTTTTTTTATGACATGCATAAAACCATATTTAGTAACTGCAAGCCCCATTACAAATCATTGTAAAAATAGGTTGATCCAATAAAGTGACAAAACATGCAGGTCCCAATAATTAATCGATAAAACATATTCTCACAAATGACATACGGTATAAGAAATGCCAGGTTGAATAAAACAAGTCTGCAACACTTAACATGAACACTGATGAAATGAATTCACTAAAAGATTAATTCTTAAACCATACTCACTTATAATACTACCACTGTCTTTCTTCGGGCCTCTGAAAGTAGAAAAGTACACGTCTTGATGATACTATGGTATAGCAAATGATATTTAAGAAGTGTCTAATGAACTTTTTAAAAAAGCTAAAAGGTCACTGACATCTGTTTTCAGCTACCTTGTAACTCTCATAGCCTGGAAAGGCTGCTCCAAGCAGCCAAAGCTTCTTCCCATAATGACGAGCGGCTGTTCACAGCGGCCGGTGTTGGCCGGAGTGATGCACACAGATATGTGGCATTTCTCATCTACAGCAAAGAATCACATAAAACTTTGTACGAAGCTTCTCTAAAGGAAACTACAGTCCTTTGCTTTTTATGTTTATGTCTGTTCTTTGTCTTTAGTCGAAGCAAATGTTGTGAAGGTAGTAGAGCCGAATTGTAAAAAGATAATAAATTCCATAAAACTGCAAATCAATTCCGGGGTCCATGAGAAAGAGACCAAACTTTTAAAGCATAACTCATAAAATGACAACTTTTATTGTCAACTTATTAGGGGACACCTAAGGAAAAAATTCATTAAGAAATTACCAGTCTCATTACTTTGTTTTGAGCACGTTTTTTTTTTTTTACATTCATAAAATTCGTCTGATATCAACAACTAATTAGAATTATACCTAAAAATGTATTTTTCAATATTTCATCACCAAATACTTCTTCTGCTTTTTATTGACCACAAGTTAGCATCACAATTTTCTTTATTCATAGAAGAGTAACAAAACATAAGTAAGGATAGAAGAGAAAACAAATCAAAAGTTTCGGGCAACCGGAAATAAAGAAAAAGTAGTGAAAAAGGTCAAGCTAGTGGCACATCTCTGCTATTCAGTGTAGAATTTTAATTTTTTGAAACATGAAAACAACTACCCTATATCCTTTTTATAAACACTTACGTCAATCTTTTATTCAATCTGTTTGAAGAAACTACTTCTCCAAGGGTGCATTCCATTCTGCCAAGAAAGTCCTGCAGTTAAGAAAAAAACAACAACAGGTGAGGGTCAACTGGTACAAGAGTTAAAATCAGCAAGAAAAAGGTTGCCAAAGTCTGGTGACTTCCAAAGCTTGAGTGTCTTTGGAAACTGGAAAATTACATTTCAATGCCGGTTTTTTTTTTAAAGGACATAAAAGATATTAAGCCAAAAAAAGAAAATTTTAAAAAAAATTGCCCACCATCCACAAAGTACTGTTTTATTTGATTTCATTGTTTTGATGAGCACCTGATTTCACCACACTGCCTCACAAATATATATATATATATATATATATATAATGTAAGAATAGGTCTAAAATATTTAGTAATGATGAACTGTAACTTCTTTCAATTTTTCATTTTTCTTTAAGTTATGACACACAAGTTAACATGAAAGTGGTTTAGATTCAAAAGGTTAGACGCACAAACCTATGTATCATGGAGAACTTTTGAGGCTTCTCTTATATTTTTTATATTAGAAAATGTTTTTAAACTTGCAAATAGTAAGACAGTATAACTTTTGAAACTAAAATCACACAAGTCAACCTTTACCTGAAAAGTGGAAATATTTGCTACCTATTCACCCTCCTGTCAAATAAAGCGATTTCTTTGGACAACATTCAATCTTCTTCGTTAAAGAAAAACACCCCGACAACAGTCTCAAGAGCATAATAAGGAAAAATAGAGATCTTAATAAACATACTCACATGTTTCGAAAGGTCAGAACTGGCTGAATCCACATCATACCTAAGCAAATAGAAAGTTGTTAGTTAATCACAAATGGAGGCAGCAATAGATAGCAGTCCAAACAAAACAAAATGGTTAAAAAAAACATCAACACCAAAAAGGAGAGTAAATGCCCAAGGAGTACCATGAGGTCATTGCTCTTTTCTCGATTCTAATGTTCAATTCACTCTTACATTATCAGTACTGAACAATTGTAAACATTTTTATTCTATAAAGTCAAGAGAGCAATGAAAGAGTAATACAAGTATCAACCAACAAACACCATTAAATTGAAAATGGAATGGGGACAGAATAATAAGCACTGTCGAACCTGTCTAAGACAATCACCAGTACATATGACCACTCCCCATTCCCCCTTTGCTTTTTTTGTCCATACATATACATTGTCCAAGATGTCAACTGTCTAACACAACCACTTTTCTCCTCCACAAGGGATGAACCTTACAACCCCAACACAGCCTTGTAATGAACGATCAGAGCCTTCTTATATAATATAATGCATTTCAGACAAATCCAAAACCATGACAGCTGAACAAGAATATGTAATCTGTATTTACACCTCAAACTCAATACAGTAGTCTCCACCTAAGATCCCACCGCTTATAATCCCGGTTCACTTAAGATCCCATTGTTTTAAGAAAACAGAATTTTACTTCACAAAAGTCGCCCCTAAGATCCTGCTCTGAAGGTCTACATTTGGCTAACATCCCGCATTTCAGATTATAATTTACAGAACAAAATCCTGGCTGGACACAGCAGACTAACCAAGAGTGAAATTTGCGATCATTGAACTGCCCGTAGTGTCACAGATTAGCCACTCTCGTGAATGTGATCATATGTCCGTTGCAAATCTCTATGAAATGGTACTGTTTGCCCCAGACAGGATCACACCGAGGTGAACTAGCCAACATGTTTGTTTTCCCTAAACATCGCACTCACATCTGAGACCTAAACCAAAACTTACATCACACTCTAGGCGGGACCACATTGAACTGTGAACTATTCCTTGACCATTGCAGCAGTTGTCTCTACTTTCAAATTTGCAACACTGAGTTTCAATTGGTGTGGTCACAACACAATGGTGCACAATGACAAAGGCGGGTGAACTCGGTCAGAGATGGAAACCTATAAATTTTGGACTGGTAGGGTAGAGGGGAGGAGCAATTGGATAAGCGTAGATGTTGAGACTCATGATAGGATAATAAGTGAAAATGGCATGCCTCATGCCACTGTGATTGGTAATCAAGGTCGACCACTCTTTGCTCGCCATAAGTTATAAAACCATCCAGAGGTCGCGTCAGTTCATTTTAGAGTAGAGAGAGACTATTTTACCAATTGTGGGCCTGAACATTGGCCACCGTGGATTCTTCCCTTATTGCGTCAGTTAAGATCTCGTTCATCTAAGTTCCCACATTTTCCTTGCTCCCAAGCATCGGAATCTCATGCAGAGACAACTGTCCACGCATTTCAAATTTGAATATTTACTCTGTGAATTTAAAGGCTTACATCCCAAACTTGTATACTCACGTCGTTAAATCTGAATACTTACACTTCAAACTTGAGCTTTTGTGATTGCTCAAAATAGTACTGCATGACAAACTTCTTCACAAAGTCAGGGTTCAGGTTATTCCATATGATCTCAGTTCGCCCAAACTGAATGGTAGACAAAAGAAGAGAAAAATAAAGATAAGGTAGACTAAAATCTTACACCTGTTTTTCTGCAAACAAGGGAACCAATTTTTAAAAACCCTTTCACTTGCCTTGTCCATAAACTTAAAAGATCCAATTATTAAATCTAATGTCTCTTAAAAGGAACTATAATATTTAGTGCTTTTACATAAATAAAGTTAACAAAATTTCAGAAGAAAACAAAGGAACTTACCTCTCTCCAACCTCTAGATGATTTGTCTTGAATGAACATAACCGCAACTGAAGGGAAAAGAAAGAATCAAAGGTAAAACCAGTGTAAATGTAAGTCAAAAGATAATAAATCCAAGACACATTCCCTGAGCAAAAGATTTTATTTTCATTTTGCCACAACAGTCAAAACACATTCGCATCACTTCTTAACACCTTTGACAGTATTTGAAATGGTTGACTGTCAAACAATTTTTTAATTTAAGTCTTTTAACTGTGACTTCATGAATCCTCAAAGTTGCCTATCAATGCCACTGCTTCCACTCCACCTGAGCAGGTAAAAAAAAGGGTTGCTATGCATTGACAAGCCAGATGACAGTGATGTTTTTAATGTCATAAGGATCAATATGTAAATCTATTTGTCCTGAACTACTTTATGAAAAAAATCTAATATTCTGTGAGGACTGCTTAACCTTTGAAATATAGTGCTCGTCCTGGATACAGTTCAAGCTGGCATATTTGGTGGACATGTTTTTATTCCGCCACTTCAAAATCCCATCCCAGATCCTGAGCAGAGGTAAAGTAAAGAGGACTTGGCCTTAAGTTCTTTGGAGAAAAAGGTCAAAATTTAGAAATCCAGTGGACCTATTGGGCACAATAAAGACACTGTAGCAGTCAAAAGTCCAAGCTGCATTGTTGCATGCCAGCTCAGAGTTTAAAACAAACTTGAGGGATCAGTAATAGTTAAGAATGTCTTTGAAAATGACATAATGCCGCTGCCTGACTGGTAAGGTACATTTCACCACGGCATAAGCAAGAGAGGTTTGATGAACTTACAGTAAATTATTATTAATGAAGTCTTATAATGGAAGATGAGGATGTGGAGAAAGAAGATGAGCAGAAAAAAAAAGAATACATTATATGTGAACAATGTGTTTTGTTACCAGCGATATAAAAGTGGTGGAGAGTGGGTGGTGTGTGTGTGTGTGTGTGTGTGTGTGTGTGTGTGTGTGTGTGTGTGTGTGTGTGTGTG